AGATGTTTTCCTGAAGGTTTTAGGTGCTGGTTTCTCTTTCAAAAACTAAGGAAACAAGTGTAGCCAGAAGACTCCTGTCTCTGCTCTATAGATGTGACTAAAGTGATTAAAGAACTCCTCCATGACGATGAAGACACAGCAACAATTAATTTTTCTCCTTTAGTGAATCTCTTGACTCCAAAGAGCCTATCTGTGGGCTATTCAAGGGGAATAGAAAAGGAGTGCTCCATCCCCTTCTTTTGAGCCTCTTACAGTTTTTGTACACTGAAGGCTTCGTTCGCCTTCAACCAGATTAAGCAGGAGCCTCTATTCTGATTAGAGGTCTATCATTGGGAGCAGGGCACCCTGGGTTTAAGTCCCAGCTCCACTGATTGTTTCTGGATTTATGGATATAAAACATAAACGGTCCATCATACAGACACACAAAGCCATCTTTTGTCCTTCCCAACTGAGTGCCATAACCACGAGGTTACAGACTAATTCCCTCTCTCTGATCTAATGCATTTTTAATTCTTTCAGAGTACAAAGTGGAACAGCTTCAACAGAAGGGACAGACTGTGTTTTCTTCCTTTCCATGTCCCCCTGGACTGTGGGCTGTTTACCTGACAAGTAGAGGAGAGCCGAAGTCTTTGTTGCACAAAGGAAAGCAAACCAGGTCCTTCACCTCAAGAATGTTTTAACCACTGACTTTTTTATATTAAAATGAAGAATAACCAAGCCTTTGAGGGGAAAGCATCAGTTACAGCTGTATTTTTGTGTGGAGGTTGACTTAGCAAACATGCTCCAAGACCTGGAGGGGCTTGGGCTGTCATAAGAGGAGCAAGGCAGTCAGATGAAGCCTGAGGTGTCTTTGGGCAAATAAATCTTCTGGGAAATTTATGCATAAAAACTGTAGCATCTATGGAGGTTAGTCACCTCCAAGGTCAGCTGTAACTAACCGAGGAGCGTGAGGAAGCCTGGCTCCAGTTTTAGTACCTAATTTCCACGTCAATCCCACCTTCGGCACTCGATCCCCATCGCGGGGCTTCGGTGACTGGGTGGGGTCTCAGCACTTTGGGACCAGGCGAATCTCATGGAAATGCCGAGTGACACGTTTGGTATAAATACTTCCAAAGGCGTGTTTTGGACGGCGGGTCAGGGTTTCGCAGGGGCGGCAGCTGCTCCCTCCCCGGCACGGCCCTGCCCCGTGCCGCAGGCAGGCTC